AAAAGTATAATAAATAATAATAATTATTATTATTCAACTTTGGGCACTTTCTATTTAAGCTGTGACGGTCACCTGTGAGACTATGAAAGAGTTGTACCTGGCGTATGATCGGCTGGTGATGGGCTTGCCTGGTGACTCCTGTTGCTTGGCAGAGTAGTGTGCGAGCCACTTGGTATAGTCTGCCAGCCCCTGGAACAAGAACAGGACATGAGCACGCACTGACCATCCTGCACTGAGCATGTCCTTACCGTCATGTTTTGTCCATCCTGCTTTGACTGTCCTGCACTGAGTGTGAACGTATCATCCTGCACTGAATGGACACCAAGACGTTTTGCACTGAGTGTCATGCATTGCCCATCCTTCACTTAGTGTGCACTGAGTGCCCTGCACTGAGCATCCAGCACTGAGCATCATGCACTGATTTCGTGCAAGCAAACTTGTGAAAAGTGTCAGACATCTTCTCTCAGGATTTAAAGTGTCCTTAAACGATCATTAATTTTTAGATTTTATAAACAAAAAAGCAGAGGCCCAGGGAGAATGACCAGACCTACCACTTGTCCAATGAGCTGGAAGCCTGTGGGCAACTTCATCCCGAATACAGGGAGCTTCTCCTCATTGACCAGCCACTCCTACAGGACAGGGCAGAGGAAGTGTTCTGTCAGGAGAACAGGTCAACTGCTTACAATGACAGTTCTCCAGGCAGACAATTTATCTGAACTGTTTTCAACCTAGAACAGGGAAAATCCAGGATTCAAAATGCTGAAAAATTCAATCCAAGGGTGCATTTTCAACATTGCCAAGAGTACAAGAACACAGGTGGAAGTTAATTCATTAATGAATTTGTTTTTGGGGAAAAATTCTTTTTTGTCAAAGGTGATTCTGTGAAATTAAGAATCCCTTTGATAGCACCCACTGGATCAATGCTGTAATCTCAGGGTGCAGATTTGCTGGGCTACCGAGTGTGATTATTATGAAGTGCAAATTGCACACGAGCAGAAACATTTCATCTTGACTCTGCATATATCGTGGACTTCAGGTGAAATGCCAAGGTTACAGGGTTTCTGCTGTGCTCACTGACGCAATCTCACTCTGTTGTTCCGTTTCCTGCAGCCCAGCTGCGCAGACCTTACCCAGAGTCTGCCCAGCATCCTGTCCTCAGCGCAAGGATGCAGGTCAAGGAACTGGGCTAGGCAGGGCAAGGTCTGTCTGCGCAGGCAGTAGAAGACCACACTGGCCAACCGGGAGCCCGTCAGTCCTGCATTTGGCTTCTCCAGGAACCGCGTTATTCTGAAATGGAGCAGCAGCATCACAAGATCGTTAGTACACTTATGCACACCCAGCACCACATACTTCCTGCTTCTACAAGGTGCTGCAATCATGTGCACATTTCTGTGTCCTTCCCAAACTGGTTACAGAAAGGAAAGCAACTGAGGCCAAGACCAAGAACACAGTCAAAGACAGAGAGACAGAGTGCATAGGCCTGACCTGTGAGTTACAGGGCAAACTTCCACGATCCCCCTGGAGGTGGTCTCTTCTCCCTCCTCCATCTCGTAGTAAATGGCCAGCTCGCCACCCTGACAGAGAGAAGAACAAGATGAATGTTGCACCCACATACTGTAGGAGCTCCAGGCAGGCAGGACAGCAGAGGGCGGCCAAAAGCCAAGTGGCGCAGCTAGAGCACTGCAAGAGCCAAGTCACACTAGTGCTGTGACCACCATTAAAGTAACGTGTATCTTTCCAAATTATGTCTTTCATGCTGCATTATGGCAAGAAGGATATACCAATCAAGAACAGAAGAATCTGGACTACAGGCGACATGCAGCCTTTAAAACCCAACTTACAATGACAGAATGGAAGCAGGAGTGTGGTCAGCCTTCTGGCCTGTGCCATGATAACAAGATCCAGCTCGACTGACCTTTGACCGGAAGAACCGCAAGACCTGGGCGATGTCGAAGTTCTGGTCCGCGCATAGCATGTCTCCTGCAATCTGCGCGAGGCAGGAACACAAAGTTAAATTGCAGTCTAACGCTGAAAACTGAAGACAGGAGGCACATCTTCACAAAGAATATGAAACCAACTCATTAGGCCGCACTGTTGGAAGCTGATTTTGTTCAATTCTTTAAGACACAGCTTGACAGGATTCAGATTACTGAGCTACTAGCAACTGCATCACCAAAATGCTAAGAACTGGCCTCGGCAGGAAAGAAAGGGAAAGAAATTGGATGGGCAGCAACATCGAGCTCTGTTTTCATGTAGGCTATGTGTTCCTAATGTGTGACTAACTTAGTCCCTGATCCAGCATCTTGAGAAAGTTCTCTGTTCCGCTGGAGACACCCGAGTAATTAATCCTACAACCACACGTGCAGCTCTGTGATGCACGGTTCTGCGAGAGGGGGCTCTGGCTGTGGAGCGCAGGGATTGCCCGGTGAATTTCATACCACCATGATGTCATCGCTGAGCCGGCGGCTGCGGATGGCCAGCTCCAGGTCAGCCACGGCTCCCAGCCGGCCCTCCAGCGTGGTGCTGCCGTCGTTCACCAGGTTTCCCACAGGAAAGTCATTGGCCGTGGCCCAGCGCTCATAGTGCTTATACCTGCAAGACAGCACGCAGGCTTTACACCCCGAGAGTGAAGCAGACAGGAGACCCCCTGCCAGCCCCTGCGGTAAGGTGGGGTCACTGTGCGAAAGCTCTGCGGTTACAGGAAATGCTGCTTTTCACAAACAAGAACTTCAAGGACAAAACAGAAGCTGGTGCATGAACTTACTTATCAGCATTTGTGACGAGATAAACTTCGCTGAACAGCTGCCGCCTGGACACAGGAAAAACAGAATTACCCCCTTGAAACCAGGCTGAACGTGTGCGTTTCAGCACATTGCAGAACTTCTCATTTTCAAACAGCTCAACCCGGGGGTGAAGTCCTCACTGCTCTGGAAGTGTGCGAACACTAAGACCACTCTCCCCCAGGGAACACGCCAGTTTGAACTGGTACAAGCTGTGCAGATGAAGCAGAGACCTAACTTTCAGTGTGTGTGCCAGTCTATGCAATTCTACTTAAAGCTACTTGTTACACACTTACACAACCAACACCTTACACACAAATGCAGGTAAAACCTGAGATGGCTAAAGGTGCTTCACAGCAGTGCTCCACAGGCCAGAGACACTCACATGTTCACCGTCTCCCACCAGAAGTCCAGGATCTTCTTCCCTCCCACTCCAGGCAGCAGAGCCTTTGGCACCCCTGCAAGGTGACTGTACAGACCGGTGCCATCGTTCTGACAGTGGAGAGAGAGATAAGTATACTGGAGAGAGAGGGCAGGGAGAAAGAGCAGGAGAACACAGATCACTGCTAAATATAGCACAGACAACAGGAGCTCTGTCTGTGTGTCTACAGTACAGCACAGCCAACAGGAGCTTTGTCTGTGTGTCTACAGTACAGCACAGACAACAGGAGCTC